TCTTCTCATTGTACTGCTGTTGCCTTTGTTGCTGCTTCTGCTGCTGCTGCTGCTGCTGCTGTTGCTGCTGCTGCTGCTGTTGCTGCTGCTGCTGCTGCTGCAGACGAACGACGAAGTGCCCCTTAAGACATGGTCGCTTTCCGCCTGCCCGTCCAACAGCCCGGGGCATCCGCAGCACCCTCAGCAGCCGCAGCAGCAGCAGCAGCAGCAGCAGCAGCAGCAGCAGCAGCAGCAGCAGCAGCAGCAGCAGCAGCAGCGGCAGCAGCGGCTGCAGCAGCAGCAGCAGCAGCGGCAGCAGCAGGGGCGATGGCAGCGGCGAGGTGTCCGGGAGGGGCGGAAACGGGGATAGCAGCAGCCGCGCAGCCAGCACCAACCCAATGAGATGGCTAGCAAGCTAGCCAGCTAGCCAGCTAGCTAGCTAGCTAGCTAGCTAGCTAGCTAGCTAGCTAGCTAGCTAGCTGGCCAGTTGCTTGTCTTTTAGCTAGCTGTATGTTTGGCTAGCTAGCCAGCTCCCTAGAAGGCCATTTGCAAAGCAAGCTCTGTGTCAAGCCAATGGACTAGCTAGCTCTCCGCTTTCTAGCTAGTCAGGTAGCTAGCTAGCTAGCCAGCTAGCCACCCAGCTATACAGCTAGCTAGTAAAGCGGCTAGCTGCCTAGTTATCTGTTTAGCTAGCCAGATATCTAGCTAGCTAGCTAGCTGGCTAAATAGCTGTCTACCCATCAAGCTATCAGTCAAGGTGCCTGAAATCGGCCCTAGTGTTGACTATCTATCTATCTATCTATCTAGCTAGCTAGCTAGCTAGCTAGACAGATAGATAGATAGCTGAGTAGCTAAGTATCTAGCTAGGTGGCTAGCTGTTTAGCTAGCCAGCTATCTAGCAAACTATGCAGCTGGTGAGCTACATAGCCAGCTAGCTACACAGCTAGCTAGCTACATAGCCAGCTAGCTACACAGCTAGCTAGCTACATAGCCAGCTAGCCACACAGCTAGCTAGCTACACAGCTAGCTAGCTACACAGCTAGCTAGCTACATAGCTAGCTAGCTACATAGCTAGCTAGCTACATAGCTAGCTAGCCACACAGCTAGCCAGCTAGCTAGCTAGCTAGCTAGCTGTTTGCGTTACCTGCATTATTGAAGAGAATATCAACGCCGCCCCTCCAATTGATGGCCTCCTCGACGGTGCGCTGCCAGGGGTCTTCCTGCTGCTGCTGCTGCTGCTGCTGCTGCTGCTGCTGCTGCTGGTCGGGGGCCCTGAGCCCCTTGGAGAGGTCGAGGGGCAGCAGCAGCAAGTCCTGCTCACTCAAAGAGCCCCCGTGGGATCTGCAAAAGTCCAGAATTTCTTTTTTTGATTTTTCTAATCTCGAAAAAGAGCGGCCGGTAATAATGAGCCCTTTCACGGGGTGTACAGACAGCTGCTGACACAGCGCCAACCCGATCCCGCTGGTGCCCCCTGCGCGCAAACAATTTCATTTATTATCTATTTATTATTTATTATTTATTATTTATTATTTATTTATTTATTTATTATTCGTTTGCTTGTTTGTTTTGTTTGGTTGGGTGTTTGGCGAAAGTTGTGCAGAAGAAGGATTTCTTTTTAAAGTTCTGCAGATTTTTGTGCTAAGACAAAAGAAACTGCTGCTGTTTGTTTATTTATTTATTTATTTATTTAATTTATTCATTTATTTGTTTGTTTATTTATTTATTTGTTTATTTTTTTGTTTATTCATTTATTCGTAGTCTCTTGTACTTCTTGAGTTGATGTTTTCGCTTTTGTATTTTCACGAAAAGTGTTCTTGAGCAGTCTTGTCTTCTTTTATTTATTCTATTTTATTAATTTATTCATTGTATTTATTTTATTTTATTTTATGATTATTAGATTTATTTATTTATTTATTTGACTCACTTTGTTTAGCTGTTCTATTTCGTTGTTCCATTATTTCGCCTTCTTTCAAATACAAATTTGACCAACTACTACTTAGCCAGAATTAATATTATTATCATTTAATTAATTAATTAATTAATTAAATGATTAAATGATTAATTAATTAAATGATTGATTAATTAATTGATTTGCTGCTCACCAGTGACCCAAATAACTTTATTTTTGAATTTGTTTTCATTTGGGGAGCAGCAAAAAGTGACGAAGTCGGTGAAGGGCAGCAGCAGCGGAGCAGCAGCAGCCCAGAGCAGCGCGGGGACTGCAGCAGCAGCAGCAGAAACGCTCGCGAGCAGAAGCAGCAGCCAGAAAAGCGGAGAAGCAATTAGGGTTCGAAAGTCCTTTTTAAAGAAGTGAAACTTCTCCGAAGAAACGAATCCGGAGAGTTTTCTGGGTGCTGCGCTGTCGATACACCGCAGCAGGTGCTGCAGCAGCAGCAGCAGCTGGCCCCACAGCAGCAGCAGCAGCTCTTTTGCTTCTTCCAGGGCGCTGCAACACTTGGCCTGCATGCGTTTGCTGCGCAGCGCAGCCAGCACCGAATCCGCCGCGCTGCAGCAGCAGCTCTTCCTGCTGCTGCTGCTGCTGCTGCTGCTCTCCGGCAGCCGCGTTGCAGTTTGACTTCGTCTTTCCGTCAACATGCTGCTGCTGTCAAAGCACACTGCTGCGGGCGCGGTGTCTGTCCAGTGCGCAGCAGCAAAAGATAGAGCTGGGAGCGTGTTACAGCTGCTGCTGCTGCTGCTGATGCTGCTGCGGAGGCGCGGGAAGGCGAGTGTGTGCGCTAATGAAGCGCTAAATGGATTAAAAGGAAATATTTAATCCAAACGCAAGAGAAAAATCCCGAAAAGACGCAAAACTGGTGTCCGCCAGCAGCAGATCCGGCAGCGACCGCGTGACTGCTGCCTCTGGCGTACCGCTGCGGTGTACATACACCTGAAAAAAGGAAGTTCGAGACTGAAACTGCGTTTATTAATTCGAAAACGCTGAGTTAACTGCAGAAGGTTGGAAATAAGTTTCTTTTAGCAGTTTGCTGCTGCAGTTTGCCGGGAAAGTGCCGCAGAAAGAACTGCTGCAGCAGCAGCAGCCGCGCGGTGGCTGCGGCGCCGGAGCTGTCTGTACACCTGAAGTTAGACCCCCCAAACTTCGCATTTAATCCTTTTTGCAGTTTTTTCTTGTCAATTTGCTGTTGGGGAGTTTAAAGTCTTTTTGCTGCTGGCAGCACGGAGGCGCTGCGCCTCCTCTCCCTCGGGTGTATGTACACCCCAGCTCAAGCCTCCTATTTGAACCCTGGGGCCCCTCTCTAGCCTCTTTTCTTCACTTCTTTTTTATTATGTTTTTGCTGCTTGCTGCTTCAGTTCTGCTGCAGCCCCTGGGCCCCCGGCGCCACCCCCCGCCCGCTCGTCTCCAGGGTTTACGCTGTACCCTCGAGGGTTTAGGGTTTAGGGTTTAGGGTTTAGGGTTTAGGGTTTACGCCTTAAGGGCCCTTCCCCCTTTTCCCCTCTCCAACAAAGACATATAACCCCAGGGGCCCCCCAGGGCCCCACTGCTTGCCTCCCCAGACAGCAGCACTGACACCGCCAGCCCCACCTGCAGCAGCAGCAGCAGCAGCAGCAGGAGCAACAGCAGCAGCAGCAGCGTCAGCAGCAGCAGAGGCAGTGTAGGGGGGAGCTGCAGCAGGGGGATAGCCG